TTTTGTCTTAGTGGAGTTTTTGAAGTTTGTTTTCATTTTTTGTTCATGAGGTTGTGAGTGGGGGTAGGGAGGTGGGCAGTATCTGGGAGTTGGTGTGCAGGAAAAATATGATCAATATGTATTGTGTGATACCACATACAACCCCTCCATCCCAGCAGATTTTCCACCTCCTTCTGCAGAGTCCATACAAGTGAGCCTCCCTGACCACTCCATCCAAGCCTTCTCCCTACTCAACCAGATCTAGCTTGGATCCCACCTCCTGTGTACCAGACCATTCTGACTACCCCATCTGCATGGCAGCCAACCTCTGGGCTTGCACCAGAACCCACCCTACATGCAACCACCCACATGTGTACCACATCCAAAATCCCTAGCAACCCAGACATCTCACCTCCTTTTCTAGGGTCTAGCCAGATGAGTCTCCCTGATCTCCCCATCTAAGTCTTCTCCCCATTATACCAGATCAATTCCAGTGCCCCAGCCAAGGTTGGCCTCCCTTGCTTGCATGGCAAATAATCTATCTCTAGAATTTATCCAGGAACCTTCGTACCTATCTATCCCCTAAACCACAGATTCCTCCCATATCATACCATATCCAAACTTTGACCCAGCCAGATCTACTTCCACACTAATGGTATGGAGCAGGAATTACCAGCCCAGCCCACTTTGTCTACTTGACTCAATTCTACTCAAGTCATTTACCACCTCTAGGCTTTAGACATAGAGTACGGGATTACCAGCTTACAATCCCACTGCCAGAGATACTAGTAAACAAGGAAGACCCTAAAAGAGACAAACTTTGTCCCCTGGAGAAGGGAAAAGGTTCACTATCCCCTGAGCAAATTGAGAACATGGGAAGAGGGGGGAGGGAGCTACGAGAGTGAGAAGGGAAGAAAAGGAAGGATGCAGAGGTCATGAGGAAGCAGAAATTATGAGTCAGGTGTAGATTAGAAGAAAGGACATATGACAGGTAGGATTGTACTTGGGGGGGTGGCAGAGGAGGAAGGGAGGGAGAAGGGAACTGGGGTCATCATGTAATTCAATCTTGTTTGTAATTCAAATATATAAAAAATAAAAAAACTAAAAAAAGAGATGACATCAAACAAAAAAGAAAGAAAGAAAGAAAAAGTTCCTGTCATTCCAGTTCTCCTGTGACAAGGAGGGAGGCAGAGACAGCTTAATCTCTGGAAGCTTCCAGGCCACCTGGCCTGGCACATGTAGCAAACATCAAATAGGGGGAAAGATGAGCCTTAACTCTTGAGGTTGTGGCCATGAGCTCGCACCCACCCATACCACATATACACAGAAAGAAAACCAGAGTGATGGGACCAGCCCTCTCCTGTTACTTGACAGAAATCTGGGGGCTCAGGTTAGGCCACTTCTCACCTGAGTGTTCTGTAACCTTAGTCTGTCATTTGTGTGGCAGATGCTAGTGGTACTACTGTCCCAAACACAGTTCCAAAGCAAGATGACGGTCTTTGCCACCTGCCATTAGCTAATGCTCAGGAAATCCTCATGCCACTTTGGCATGCTCTCACAAAGAACCTGGGAGCAGGCCCTGGAAGACTCTGCCCCTAGGAAATCTTGGCACAGCACTGTAATTGGCGATTCAGGAAACACTGTCCTTGGCTCACTTAATTCTCTCCACATAATTGATTAGAAGAGGGAGAAATGAAGCATCAGGAGGAAACACGCATTTAATTCACGTTAAACAGCCCTGTTCATTTTTTAATCCTGGCCCTTTCTGTTCCTGCCTTGGTCCTTGGTCACTGTAAATCAGTTAAAAAAAATGGTTTCAAAATATAAAAGAAGGAAGCGGAGGAGCAGCCCTTCACATTTAATTGTCCTCAGGTGCCTACCAGTTAAGATTTTAATTTCGAATCATGGGAAGGAGGCAGAGGTGACCTTTGGTCCATTGAGAAGCAGAATCATCTTAAATGTTGATAGAGTTGGGGGATAGGGGCGGGTGTGTGAGACTTGCATCACAGCCTACCTAAAGAATGGAGATTTTTCTCTCAGGGCTGGTGGGAGGAACAGGCATTTCCAATTCCTTCTTAATGGGAATCTGAACCAAGTCATTCCAGAGCAAGGGCTTACATGATCTCTCCAAAAAAAAAAAAAAAAAAAAAAAAAAAAAAAAAAAGGGGGAAAAGAGAAGAAAAGAAAGAAGAAAGAAAGAAAGGAAAGTGCAGAAATTTGACTTCCTTAAGATTTACTCTGGGACAGTCTACTCTTAGGCATATACCCAAAAGAAGCACATTACGTTCATACAACAAGGACATTTGTTCAACGATGTTCATAGCAGCATTATTTGTAATAGGCAGAATCTGGAAGCATCCAAATGCCCCTCAACTGAAGAATGTATAGAGAAAATGTGGTACATTTACACAATGAAGTACTACTCAGCAGAAAAAAACATGGAATTTTGAAATTCACAGGCAAATGGATGGAACTAGAAGAAACCATTCTGAGCGAGGTAACCCAATCACAAAAAGACAAACAGGGTATGTATTCACTCATATATGGATTTTAGACATAGCGTAAAGGATTCCCAGCCCCCAATCCACACCTCCAGAGAAGCTAGGAAACAAGGAGGACCCTAAGAGAGACATACATGGTCCCCCAGAGAAGGGGAAAGGGTCAAGATCTTAGCAAATTGGGAGCATCAGGGGAGGGTAGAGGGAGGTAGGAGAATGAGAAGGGGAGAAGAGGAGGGGTGAGGAAGACATGTTGGGGCAGGGAGGTTGAGTTGAGGGAAGAACAGAAAAGAGCAAGATAAGAGATACCATAATAGAGGGAGACATTTTAGGTTTAAAGAGAAATCAGGCCCTAGGGAAATGTTTGGAGATCTACAAAGATGACACCAACAAACAATCTGAGCAACAGAGGAGAGGCTACCTTAAATGCCCTCCCCTGATAATGAGATTGATGACCGACTTATATGCCATCCTATAGCCTTCATCCAGCAGCTGGTGGAAGTAGAAGCAGACACGCACAGCTAAACCCTGAACTGAACTGGAATCCAGTTGCAGAGAAGGACGAGTGATAAGCAAAGGGGTCCAGACCAGGCTGGTGAAACCCACAGAAACAGCTGACCTGAACATCAGGGAGCACTTGGTCCCCAGACTGATAGCTGGGATACCAGCATGGGACTGATCCAGACCCCAGGAACCTGGGTGTCAGTGAGGAGACCTGGGAAATCCATAGATCAGTACTTATCCCTAGCATAGGTTTGGATTTTGGGAGCCCATTCCACATAGAGGGATACTCCCTGAGCCAAGACACATGGTGGTGGGCCTAGGCCCTATCCCAAAGGATATGACAGACTCTGAAGACCCCGTATGGAAGGCCTCACCCTCCCTGGGGAGCAGAAAGGGTATGTGATAAGTAGGGTTTTAGTTGGGGGGGCAGGGGAGGAGGGGAAGGAGGAGGGAACTGGGATTGACATGTAAAACAATCTTGTTTCTAATTCAAATAAAAAATGGAAAAAAAAAGATTTACTCTGGAGAAAAAACGTGGCTCTCCAAGGCTCCTACATCTCTGAGAGCGTCAAGAGCAAAACCTAAAAAGGAAGAAATTAGGTGGGTTATTTGCGAGTCTTAAGCCACTATGAAATAAATCTGAGGGGCTAACATCGGGTGAGCTGACCTGGCTCTCTGGGATCGCCGCGGCCGGCTTGATCTGCTCTCTAGTGGACATATGTGGTGCTGCCGCTCTGGGCTCCAGCTGTGGCCACCTTCAGACAGCGCCGCGTGCTGACGCGGTCTGCTCACAGCCTGATCACCACTCTCTTGCCTTCGGTCCTCATCCAGCCACCAGCAAAGCCGCAGGTTAGGAGATTGCAAAGACGCGGGGATCTACTCGTGGTGGAGCCGGGAGGCAGCTCTCCCATCCTGGGTGGAGAGCCCTCGCGTGCATCTCTGAGGCCATCCCCTGCGGTGCAACTTGCCTGGTGGCGAGGCAACTTTGGGGCTAACCTGCAGGCTCTCTTCAGGTGGCCGGGTCCTGCGTTTCGTGGGTGGGCACAGGATGACTAAGACCAGTGGGACCATCAGGTTATGAGGGAAGGCTCTGGCGCCTCTCTGGCTTCTGGTTCCCCGAGGCGCTCAGGTGCTCCGAGGGACTGAAAAGTGACAGCTCAGACGACCACGCAGAGTCCTTGAGGCAGCTTTGAGGCTGCGGGGCTGGGGATTCCTGTGAGAGGCATCTGCCCCAGGAGTCTCTCTCATAGCAGCCTTGCGTCCGGGGGTCTAGGCTCGCAGGCAGGAGTCCCTCAGGGAGCCAGCAGCTTCGGGAAGATCCGGGAGCCCGGGCTGAGTGTCTTGGGACTGAAGGAGTTGAAGAAGGATGTGCGTGAGCTGGGCTTTTGGGGAACCTGGATTTACCTGCAGTAAAGCTTACCAAGACGGGGGCTGCATTGGGTGTCCATTAGGAGGTGGTTGTGTTAAGTGTCCTGAGGGGAAAGGTGTAGGTTTGGGGGTTCGGGGTGGGGGCGGTGCGGCTGAGGAGGGGTCCCTGTTCTCGGGAAAGCGGTTAATCACAGCCTCCTCTCTCCGCAGGCAGAGCGGCTGACCCTTTCTGGGACCCACGCTCAAGCGCATCTGCAGATGGTCAAAGCGGGTACGGCAAAACCGGGATTTCTGCGGTGGTAGCTGAGCAGCCCGGTGGCTGGGCTTGTGTCCTGAGACTCAGGTAACTTCAGATTCGCAGGAAGGGGACTAAGCACGCCCCAAGCGCGTCCTAAGAGAGGCGCAAAGGTGTTCTCACTGGCCTCCGGGTTTGTTTCAGGGCGGGAACAGGCAGATCAGTGTCCGGGTGCTCCGGTAGACACCTGGACGGCGGTGCATCGGGCCCCGCCCCACGCGCCACGCTTTAAAGAGCAGCCAGGCCGGGCTCTCCCTCGCGGTCTCGGTCACGGTCATGGAGGGCACGCCCGCAGCCA